CTGATGTGAATTAATAGGACATCAAGTCTTGGCAATCACTTTACAAACTCCCATGATAAAGTTTCAACTAGTGGGGGGTTCAATATACTCTTTTACATTTTTATTGTGTATTGTAATAAAAATGAAATTAAATATATATTGTATGCCAAAAAATTTATAAAATCAGACTTTAAATAAATAATAATAAGTAGTATGTAATAATATTATTTCAGCAAATATATAACGACACTTAATGTAAAATATTTTATACAATTTAAATATTGTAAAATAAATATGCTTACTAGTATATTTATTTTACAATATTTACTACTAAAATATTTAGATACTAAAATATACTGAAGATACATAAGATATTTTAAATTCAATGTACTAAATTAATATATATTTTTTACTTAGCACAGCAAAAATATAGGCATTTTTTTTAATTTTTTACAACATTCAAAGACCTCCTTCCTCATAACATTTCTTTAATTAAAAAACAATTACCTCCTGTTGTTTTTCATTAATAGCAGCTGTAAAATCTATTCTGGACTCCCATATTCTTTTCTCTGTGTGTTGACGATATTTTGACATAATAAGTTCCAGTGCACGTCTATGATCTTCCAAAGCCGCTCTCAGTTCTCCATTCTCCCGCTGAACATCACGCATTAAACGAGACTCGCGTTCTATGCTAGCAATCAAAGCACCACGTGGTCGTTCACGTGATGCTTCATTTAAAGTATCAACTTCTTCTTTGTACTGCAATTGTTTAAATAGTAATATTGTAATATATTTATTTTGCCTCAAATTAAATAGTTTACAATATTTTTAAATTATAAATATTTGAACCTGTAGACTGTGTTTTAAGTAGGATTTTAAAACTAAAAAGGTTCAGAAAATATGTGTCAATAGACATGTTGTAACATGTAGATCATATTAATATAACTAACACTATTTTCCCCTTTTAAATGAGCAGGTCAATTTATTATTTATAAAAAGTATACTTACATCTAAAATATTAAAAATTATTTGCAATATATCATCAATTTTTTACCCTACAACACAGCTCAGGAAACAATTTCAAGTATAAACTATTTGCCTAAATATAATTCACAGATAACAAACTAATCATTTTTAAATAAAATCCAAATTGCAGGTAAATGTTTAACACAGTAGATAACAAACCATGTGCAGGATCAACTAGTAAAACAATTTATTTAAAACTTCAGTAACTTACTGTAAAATGTTTACTGATCATTATCTGAAAATCAGAACTACAAAAACTTAATCCCTTATAGGATACTTGGCACTAGTAAGATATAAGCATGACATGTTAATCCTAATTACCAATTGCCAATTGTTTATTTCCAGGCAAATTTATGCTCATTTTCAAGATTATTGGAGTGTACTACAAGAGTTACTAGTTCCGTTATTTATATGTCGTCTACAATGCATAAGTTTAAGCGATTATGAACGACAAAAAGTATAAAATTGTAAGTCGTGTTGTATTAGCGATAGCGTTTTGCCAAATCGAGTTCATTCAATAAGTAATACCTGTTTCATCGTATGAATTTGTCTGTAAGCTGTTTGAGTTTCGGTTAATAAAGCATCCGCTTCAGTTTCTCGCTCTTTGAGACGACCTGCGAGTCTTTTTGCATCCAAAATTATTTGCTGTATGGTCAGTGACATCTGAAAGAGTCAGCAATGTAGAAACACATAAATCTACAAAATCACAAAGTTTTCCAACTTTTCTACACGAACCCTGATATCCACACAAAACAGTTATGCAACTGGCGTATCATCTAAGTAATTATATAAAATAAATTAAATGAAACACAATTATCTTCATTGAAAATATAGAACGACGCACATCAGCTGTTTCGAGATTAGATAGAGCGCGGCGGCCATTAGCTTAGCTTTCATTGGAAACAAGTATAATAATATCAATTTAAGAGAGCCTGCAAGTAAAAGACATGAAATAACAACCATAGCCCAAATTCATATGAGTGAAAGAGAAAGTAAAAAAATGACTGAATGTTTAATTTTATAGGAATATATGACATGACCTTGATTATGAGAAACATATATTTAGTTCAATATCTTTGGAAACCATAGAGTAATCTAAGAAAGTGTTTAGAAGAAACAAGTTTAATTGCTTTATAAGAACAAGGAAATCTTTAATTGCTTTCGTAATATAATCAATGGCCATTAATTTTTTCACCTAATCTCAAGATATTAGTAGTTTTAGGAAATTGTATTTCATACTTAAGGATTTTGCCCAAATTTAAATATTCTTTTTTTTTTCAAGATATCTCTATATTTTGAATTAAGTCTACATACGGTCATCTATTTGATCAACTTTATTTATATTCAGGTATTTTGGCTTCGGCTGTTTATAGGACAAAAATAGCTTCCTCATTTTTTTTCTTATAAGCAGCAAAAATGTAACTCAAAAGAATTTTTTTATAATGAGAGTCAGGCCAGCGACAGTTGGTACATCATTGTTGGAATGACGTTTTTCTATGAAACTATGTTACCAAACTAAAAAAAATTATTCATAACTGATCATAGCCATCTTAAATAGGGGCCATGACAGTCAGAGTAATGCGCTATTTCAAAAATACCGCTACATTTATAAATATATTTTTTTATTATTAACCAGCGACCCGTCCCGGCTTCGCACGGGTGCAATACCAAATATACCTACTTACTACAGAATGTCCTTATGAACATTTACAGCTATTTTGTCATTAGACAATATAAACATGATAAAGTGCTATAGGCCGAAGTGCGGCACACTGAAATTAAGAACGGACAGACAGCGACAGCGACTTTGTTTTATACTATGTAGTGAAGTCATATTTAAAAAGCATATGTCTTAAAAATTTTCAGTAAATATAAACCGATAAATAAATAATAAGTATCATTAAAATTTGCATGTATTATAGTGTATTAAAAAATTAATTCATTATAATTGTAGTATGCGGTTTCTCGTCAAAATGTTACCTTTTAATTTAAAAATAATTTTTTAATTATAGTTATATGTATGTGATTAAAATAATGTTATAACTACAAATAAAGCTATTTCTCTTATATGCATAGTACAATATGATAATATTCTTTAGAATTGAGTACGTGTTTTTTTTTTCAATGTTATTTGCTTTAGCACAACGCTTCCAACTATTGTTTAATACGCCAAAGAGAATTTACATTACTCGTCTGTCAAAAAAAATATATATTAAAATTGTGGTAAAGTGAAATAAAGTAACTAAATCTAAGTGCTTGTTTTATTGTCCATATTCATGTTAATCATTTTTAAAATGCCTTAACCCTATCATGACGCCTATTCAAAATAGTTCTTAGAACAAGGACTTACATAGAAGAAATGATAAAATAAAAACTGTAAATCATATAGTTGCCTCTTTTCTTCTTATGCAAATATAATAAGTAAAAAGAGGACGAATGATACACCATCAGTTGCTGCTTTTGACAATTCATAGCAGGCTAGTGTATAGAAAATGTTATATGGTCATATAACCCTACCAAATTCAGATACAATCTGCTTGCATACTTTCTACATGAACCGTATCGAATATATAATCTAGTAATGTAAATTTGTCATTGACAAATAATTGACATATCAAACGTTTTTAGCGACAATTAAAAAAAAATATTTTTGAAACTAATTGAGCGGTAGATCTATAGCCGTGTTTTTTTTTATACAACTTAGAATGGCAAACAAGCTGACGGCCCACCTGATAGAAAATGGTAACCGTCGCCTATAGTCATGAGCAATACCATGGACTTAACAGAGTATACTGTTTTGCCCATGATATCCCCCATGTGTTGCCATTCCTGAGGACTCAGATGTTATTCCTCTGTACCCTGTAAATTCACGCCATATCCCACCCTTCAAACCGAAACACAGCCATACAAACAACTGCTTCACGGTAGAAACACGAATGGGACAGAGGTATTCAAGCAATCGACCTCTTTCCTACAAAAGCCACCTAGATTGATTCTTGGTAATTTCATCACAATGCAACTGACCTAACTTATATCCTCATTTATCATCATTCACTGGTACCCAGTAATGTATACCATCTTTCACATATACAACGTATATAATCTTGAGCAGCAAGCCAGTTTAAATCAAACAATACTCTCGAGTCTACTGGTAACATCTTACTGTGGTATAAATAGATTTTTTTATTAAACTGTTATTAATTACTCAGTTTTACCAGTATTCATTTATTTTCTAATAAGGTTAGAAACTAAGTATCTACATAGGTAGCAGGTGGTAAAAATACGTTAATATTTTTATATTTTTAGGAAATTTTACTTAAAGACAACTTTTTTATTTGACCACATTATAAAATACCCACTGTAGCTGTGAACTATTTCAGTTCCTTCTTTCTTTCTTTCAGTATTCCATTAGCGAATTGTAATTGACTCCGAGCATTTAGAGAAACGGCATTCTCTAAGATAAAAAAAAAATATCGTCCATTGTTGAACATAGGTCTCCATATTTTACCTCAAAAATAGTCGATTGTCGGTATCCATCTATTTTCGTTTTTCGAGTCATCTTTTCGTGTAATAGGGAGGCGACCTTACAATACGTTTACTTGTAGTACAGAGTCACCTTACAAGAACCATTTTTCCTCACTCAACCTATGTGGCAAGCTCAACCCATTAATACTTCAGCTTGCTAATTTATATTCTACGATAACGTCTCGTTTCATATTACACAAAGCTTTGTGCTTTGATCCGAGTATTGATCGTCGCTAGCACCTGAACGGTGTATTTTTGTATTCGCATCAAAATGCAAGTTTTATTTGACTCTGCCATCCAAGACATAGTGTCTCAATAAAAATGATTAGGCCTGGATTTGTGGCTGGATGAAAGGTAACGACCACCATCATCCTCATTTCACACACTTACCTTACATTAGCATGACAAATGGGAAAATCTAATAAACCTATTGACCGAACTCACGAGCAAACGAATGTAAACAACCAAAATTTATTCGAACCTTTTAGTCGTACTTAAAACATATACAGGCAATAAATAATATTTTTTGTCAGATTTCGTACTGACTAATTCGTTACTGTATTTTCACAACGTTTCTTCTAAACTTAAAATCTAAATTCAACTTAATATAAAAATATACCCTAATTTAATAAAAATAAGTATAATGTCACAACAAACAAGTATAAAACAAAGTACTATTATGATATGTAACTACCATTCGAACATTCACATACAAAGTAGTCACATATATAGTTCAAAGTATAAGTATAATCACATATATTAGATATTATATATTTATAATTTACAGTTTATATTTTATAAGGAATTCCCTAATGATCTTGTTCACTTTTTCCGGCTCTTCTTGTTGTAAGAAATGGCGACAGTCCTTGACTATAGTAGTTTCAATATAATCGTACTGCTTCTTCATCATATCTAAAATGGAGTGTCTTATGTACAAGTCGTTTTCGGCATGAGCTACTAACATCGGAACGTTCTCCTCTAAATGTTTTTCTGGCAGACTGTACGCAAAATTTGCTCGGTAGTAATTAATAGGATAAGTGAAGGCAACTGAAACAAACAAATTTTATTTAGCTTTTAGAACTAGCGTTACAGTTATAGTAATATCAATACAAGGTGATGTCTCATTTTGGATCCCGTCATTGTAAAGTATTACAAAAATTGAGAAAGACAGAACATCGGAATAATAGATGTACATTCATATACAAAATCTGAAATTTATTGGCACAAATATTATTTCTGTTATTTTGTTACCCAATTGTTAATTCACATCGCGTGACATGAAAATGTATTTAATGTAATTACATAAAATGTAAAATAATAGCGACGCAATTATTTATTTGACAGAAAGATACCTAGTCACACGTGAAAAAATGATCATACAATCAATTTTTATGGATTAAGCGTTTTTTCATATTATTATATTAATTATACATGTACTTATTTATAAACATACCTATTGAAATTATTTATAAAAATAATACAGTTAGCATTCTAATACCACGCATTAAACTTGAATTTTATATCTTCGATATAAATATTTTCAACTTGGTATAATCGATCAATTTAATTAAAAGCAAACCTCTAATTGTCACTTGTTGTGCTCAACAAAGTCCATAATGCTCACTATAATAATATTATATTAGCAGACATCTGTTGTAACATTATGGCACGCAAATAAACAATTATACAACTATTTTTGTGTAACATAACAGAATAAAAAAACTAGAATAAAATTTACTCACAATCTTTGGCAAACCAGTATTTGTAACATTCAATATCTTTACTTGTAATAGAGTCTTTGCCTGGAACCAGCATTGATTTGTCAAATACATTCAAATTATTCAGTTGTAATAGTTGCTCTGGTATATACGGCATTCGGAAGAAGAAGACATACCTAAAAAAATATAAGAGGTATAAACTTTTATTATTTGTCCAGTTTATTCCAATTGCATTAAGAAAAAAAAATTAAAACATCTTCCTTACCATGACTTCATCATTTGTTTAAAATCACTGAATACACATTTGAACCAAGATTCGCGTGATATACTAGCCAATAAAATTACAGCATCTAAAACCTCAGGGTAGACATCACGGAATCGACAGGCAATAATACCACCCCAATCATGAGAGACGAGGATACATTTTTCACGGCCTGTAAAAAAAATAATGATTAACTATAATATTTAATTCACAAATTAACGAAAAAAAAAATAGAAAGAAAAGCACGTACATATATCAACTATATAATATTATTCAAAATAAAGAGTCCTTTAAAACACTGTCTTTATTAAAATTGTTTTTTTATTTACACACTCGACCGGTTTCGATAAGCGTATATTCAGAAATGCGTCGGGGTCAGTGATAATAGTGGCGTATTATGGCCAAATTAGACCGCAAGATTCGTAAGTTTGAATCGAACACTACCTACACCTAAGAATAAATAGTCCGATAATGAACAATACCGTTAACAAACCAAATTGATCCGAATAATTGCGGAAGGCTCGCGTCCTTTCACTATAGATTCCAATGTTTGACGAATTTGTGTTCACCACAATAATACGGTAACAACCTTTGATTACCCTAGCAGATATTACAAGTGTGATGTAAAGATTTACAAGCTTTAACTCGCGACTTTGCCTGCATGTCCGTGTTATATTGATTAACCTGGATTAATAGTAGCCTGTATATTCTTCCTCATCCCAAATTGTATGTGTATACTCAATTTTATAATGATTGATTGAGATGATAAGAAATTAGAAACAAATTCATTTCTTTATGAAATTAGTAATATTCGTAATAAGATTTCCTGGTTCGTAAACAAGTGATTTTACTACTTAAGTTATATAGAAAGATGTAGTATGTATCTTTGACAAGTCAAGCTATAGTAACCACTTTTTCCTTTAACAATATATAACCTGTAAATATACACGTATATACAATCTATATATTATATTTTTCTATCTATTATATTTATCTATATAGTATATTTTGAATTGTAATTATGATGATATATTCATTCATTTATGAATGCTGAATAGTGAAAAAAAAACTTTAGACCTATTTTACATCGAGGGCAATGCGATTTTAATTCACGCATTTCATATAAACTAATTAACTAGATAATTGATTTATAAACGAGACAAATTCATTCTAAATTGTCATTAGGCTATTAGCATGTTACCCAATCCATGTCAAACTCATTTTTTCTGTTCATCGAAAATATTATTCTAAAATTTATAATGAGGCTAAATGAACTGACTAATTAGGCGTTTGCAATTGCTAGTAACAACTTTAGGAAGGGGCAGTCGACGGACAGTGCATAGGACGCCAAAATCCAAAGGGGACGCCATGGTCCCAAAGGGATGCCAAGATCCAAAAGGGATGCCGTGTGGACGGTAGTAAAGCCGATCAAACCTAATGTGGACGATATCAAAATACATGCTAACCTTTTCTTAGTCATCAATTCTCTTTTATTGTCGTTTGAAATAGCGTCGTTAAAAACCAAAGTTAGCCAAAAATTAAGATAAGTACCGTAGCCTAGGGGTGCCAAGTACATTAAGCATAGTTCCCGATTGCATATATTTATACAAGTTTTGTGTTAAACATATGTTGTAAGTAGGAACTGCAATAAATTATTGAGTAAATTACGTATCTAGGAACTGTTAGTTATGTGTGAAATGGAAAGGTGCGAGTTATTACAAAAAGATGTCTCCTATAAGGAAAGTAGTATGAAATAAGAATGAAAACAACGCAAATCATATTACTGCGTTATTTGTAATGATAAAAAATAATCAAAATTATTTTTAAATTGAGTAATTTTTCCATCATGTAATTATAATTAATAGGTTTTAAAATTCCGACAACTAGATCCGATGATTCTAGTTCCCAGTAACAAAACGAAAGCAATACTTGGCAAATTTCTCGATTTTTTCAAAAGTGATGTGGATAGGATAAAACGTTCCGAGGTAAATTTTTCAATTTATTATTTATCATATACCTTTTATATTTACATATGAAAATAGAGTTTTTAAGTCAACTTGCAATGACTTAGCTGACCTCATACACCAAAAAAAGATATGTAAATATAATTTACATACCTAATTGACGAATCAAATCTCTAACATCTTCCACAAGTATATCCAATTTATAATCAGAAACCTTCTCTGGTCTCTCAGAGTCTCCATAACCTCGCATGTCAATAGCAATGCACCTAAAATACATATACGTTTCAATTACATACACCATCTAAGAATAGTACAGTCACATTATATGTAACAAACAGCATGTACTTATAAATGTCAATATAATAAAATAACTAATTTGTACACATTTTTAAATACAGTTTAAAAATTAACTAACTAATTTGTAATTTTGATCCACGTTCAGTAGTTTTTGCGTCCGAAACATTCATCCATCCATCACTATCCATGCATTCATCCTTATTAACTTTCGCATTTATAATATTAATAGAATTAAGAGATAATAGACATATTATAGCATAACGTTATTGAATGGCTCACTTGAAATCGCCTAGGGCTAAAAACTTTCTAGTCATATATACATCTAGAAATCTGCAGACTGACAAATATCTCTTTTCTTTAATTTTTATAATTTGAAGTAGATATGTTTTCACAAGTTTATGGAACAAACTAAACTTTGGACACAACATTTTTTGATTCAGAAAATCTTGAATAAAATTGTATATCTATTGGTGAAGATTACAATTCTATATCAGGTTAGCAGTTAACTTTTTTTGTCGTTCTGACTAAAAAACGGTAGCTCTAAGTAGGTAATAAATGAAACTAAATAATTCTTTATATTAATAAACAACTTTGTTAATTACCAGTAGTCTTTTTGGAACTCAACAATTTGGTGCCGCCATGAATACCAAAATTCGGGAAAGCCGTGCAGAAATAACATGAGAGGCTTCGACGAGTCTCCACTTTCGACATAATGTAGTTTTACATTCTGAAAATAGAAATTTAAATCATAAATACAATACACACAAATAAATTACTATATTGTATTAATACTGTCTAAGCACCTTTATCATATTATTGTAATCTTGATAACTATGATATCACACTCATAGTTACTTATATTAACAGAAAGATTACACACACAACGTAACAGAAAAACAGTCGACAACCGACTCTAAATACCCCATTGGAGATCCCAGTTTTGAGCATATTTTTCGGGCTCAACTTCGTGTTTTTATTCGTACCGAAATCGACCCTGTAAATGGAGCTTAACATTTCGTTTGTCACAAATCCTATCATAAAAGTTCAAAGGAACGATATTTTAGCATTTTTAATATTTTTAAACGGATGTACCGTTATCATGTAATTTTAGCATCAAATTTTTGTTTCGTTCGGATCCGAAATTTCGGAAAACATTTCATGGTAGGCCCTCTGATTTCGATTAAAAAAGAATAAGCAAATCGTGGCGATACTAGTCGTATTTAATTCTTGATCAATTTGCCATAATGGGTCAACTGCCATAACTACATCCTCACCTATTTCCCTATCTGTCAAGATAAACCGAACACAGGCAACGTGCCAATTGATTGTCATCCATAAAAAAACACGAAGTTATACAAATATTTTTGAGTTCATAACACATAATATATAATTTATTATCACATCATATATTATCAATAGATATTGTATTAACTGTTCACGAAAGGCGTTCCGCTTTCTGATCCTGACTGCAGTTGAATAAACTTGCATAACCTGTTCTCGCGAAATGCATTACGAAGGTATACCGTTAACTCATCTAGATTATATATATAATTACTTGCATTCTACTGCAGATCGTGACTGCACTCTACCTGAATAACTGGTTTTGCAACGCAAACTTTTACAGCTTTAGATGTATACTTAAAAATTATGATACAATCGTTGACAGGACAAGAACCGGCAGAGAACTTAATTTCGACACAATTAATACCTCCACGTACATATAGGAAATGGGCATCGAAATATTATATGACTGGTTACCATTACTGTAATGTAGGGCAGTAAATGCATATGCAATAAATGCATTTCTATCCGTACATATAGCCATATTCTTTTTCTTCTATCAACATCGCACGATTTTACAACAGGGCCGCTCCAACAATTTTCATAATTTGTTTAAGAGTTATTTTATTATTACAAATGAACAAAATAACAATATTGGTATCCAACTTAAACATTTGCAATCAAATGAGCAAAATAGTAAACCCCTACAAAATTTGAATACAGATAACACAATGTACGAACTTTATGTACGTCAAGGAGAGTGCTCCTGTTTCTAGTGATAAATAGTAAGTAATTGATGATATTTATTAATTATTATAAAATATAGTTGCATGTAATTAATGAGAAAATTAAACATCTTTATACATACTTAAATTCCCGAGGATGTTTTACTGCAAAGATATACTATTGTCAATCACAAATCAAGTAAAACGTTAATAAATAAAAATTAGAACAAATACGTATTCGATTTATATAAACTCATATTAGTTACCTCCAATATTATAATAACAAAAAAAATATTATAAATGTCACTCCCTCTGGTACGTCAAAGTAAATATAAGGCTAAGACAAAGTTAGATGCCTCTGGCCAAATATTTCCACTTAAGTAATATAAGGTATAATGAATAACTAACATCCGTTGCCAAATGTCAGTACTTGTTATATAAAATAGAAAAGAATATATATGAAATAAAACATAATATCTACTTTACCACTTTCATTTAGCCACAGACCGAAAACCTACCCACTTATATATAAGTAGAGTGACAAAGCTTAATTTACCAACTTATTGCAAAATAATAGGTACATGCAATTTTTTAAAGATTATTTTTATAAGAAGCTGTAGAAACTAAACCGTAAGTTTATTCGCAGTGTATAAATTTAATAAGCTTTAGTTTAATACTAGTTTAAGTATGACCTGATACTATAAAGAGGACAGCTAATACCTGTACATAAAGCAAGAATAATAATAGTCTACAATTTTCATATCGATGACGCAGAGCAAAGATCAAAGGCTTATGTGCAAATATGTACTAAATATTCGCGGTTACTTTAGCGAAAACAAGCAACAGGATATAAAATTTGTATGTATAATCGTATTAGCAATAAATTGCCTATCACAAAAAAAAGGAATTAACCTTGACAACATTATTATAAGACCAACATAGAGTCGATTAAAAATAAAACATGTAAACAACTCGGAATCGGCGAAGACACAAAAAATATATACATACGCACTGTTCCTTCTTATTTTCTATTGAACATTACACAACATCACTAAAACGGTGCAGTAATACAATTTTTAAACAAAGTATTATGAATATCCATAATACATCCAGTTTATTCGAAATTATACAAGCCAAGCGTTACGATGTTGTTACAAGGAGAACGTTTCTATCACAAAGTATTTTCTTACTCTTTCTATGCTAGACGATGATAATAAAGACTATAAATAAACAATGATAATACAATTCGTTATATGTAATAACTATAACAAAGTACCTTTATACTTAAACATAATTTAATTATTAAAAACTGGACCGAAAATTGTATTTATTTTTCCTTTTATATAAAAATGCTCAAATAACCTAAAAGATCATACAAGTGATAAATAAAATACTTACATTTACTTTTATATATTTATGTAACCCATATTTTGGATCAAAAAGGCAGGCAGGCGGTTCCAACTTCCTTTTCTGTGAAGATGAACTTAAAAAAATGTTCTTAACATAATTAAGGGTAAGTGTCCATAAAGCTAAAATACTATATAAAATAGTAAAATAGTTAGAAAGAACGAAAAGTGCAACAGTTTTTGTTAACTCGCTCATAATTCAGTTTTATACTAAATGAAAAAATCTAAAACGCGCGCGTCTGAACACAGCGGCACCGCGTCTCCAACTGTATCATAGTGTACACGTATTATTCTGCTGAACAACTGATAATACAAATTAATACACAATGAACGTGCAAATAAAATGTTCACAACTCTCTAACTTACAAGATAGTTTCTATCGCATCGCACATGGATGCAATATACGGTCATGGACACTTACTAACTTCTAAGCATAAGTACAGCAACGACAAGCTTTAGATACTAAATATTTCCTGCGACTACACTTGCGCAAACCTGTTATCTCCGGTTCTTGTGGAAGTATTTTCTTTTTAAATTATCTAATAGCCCTTAATGATTAATTTTCATAAAAATATCTAGCCGAAAACCGGCGTTTATCGTAACATCTGTAAAACTGAATAACTTACTGGAAGAAACATCTCTTGATATCTGAAAATATTATATAAACATTTAATACTAAAATAATCGTGTAACAATGCTGATTGAATATGAAAAGCTCAAAAATTATTTTAAGAGTTTGACTGAGGTCTTTATCTATCAGAGATTGTACAGCATTTTATTATTATAAGATTTACTATTCGGACACAGTACTTCTGACGTTACGAGAGATTTTATAGGTTTTAGTTAGGTATATACATTATAATGAATCTTTTATTTCTTAGATATTGTATAGCTTTCTATTCTAGAGATAAGTTTCTCATGACGGCGATGCGTTATGCCACGCGTTACGTCATGTCTACCCTGTTTCCCTAAATGGCAAAAAGAGAATGGAGATGTCGATAGGGTTCGCCCTAGAGTATATATAACAAAAATAGTTTGTGAGGAGACATAAATAAATATATTATTATAAATAAACGGCGTGCTGAAGAAGAGCCGGCAAGCGTGTATGAAAAGATTGATGAATGTGGAAGAAGCGAAAGAGGTTTGTTTGAATCGAAATATTTGGCGTTCCATTATTTCTGCCTACCCTAATAGGAGACAGATATGTATGTATTTAGTATTTCCAGATTTACGAGAGATTAAATAAAAGCTCATACAAAACAAAGTTGTCCCCTTTATAATATAATCTATAGGTAATAAACGGTAGTGAAATTACTGAGTACATATTCTTACTTACCACATGATATCTAAGAATGGAATGCAGGTAGGTACTTACCTGATTAAAAAAATACTTGCTAATCACATGACGATAAAAAAATAAGTAAAAATAGTATCACTATAAAATGAGCTAATCATACTGTAATGTGCAAGTGATATAAAAGTACTTGTTATCTGGAGTATCACAGTCGCAAAAACATTAAGAAATATTCATGTTTCCAAAAATATATATTTACTTATCGTGTTTTTACACCAAGTATGCTATAATAGCATAGCGAATAAATGGCAAAGGCTGCGTACCCACTTCAGAGAGCTTCAAAAAGTGGTAGGTGATCATGAGAGACGGAATACAATAATTGAAGACTCATAACTTTAATTAAAATGTTCCGACTAGTTTTTACCCACGACATTGTTCGAGCGATCACTTCATATAAACTGAGATAAAAAGTAGCATACCATAGGTTATGCTTTTCCAACTCTACCTGTATGAGATTTCATAACCATTGTTAGAACCGTTAAGGCATCAAGAGATAATAAACAAAGAAACAAACTCATTATCACATTCCTAATATTAGTAAAGATTGCAATACGTAATATTTAGGACATATTTCATGTAGAAAAGATGCAATAACTGTATTAGTTCGAAGAGGCATTCCTATATTTTCCCCTTTTTAAATTCTTAACTTAATAATTTTATGTACCATGCACAATGGTGTCAATAGACCACAACGTATGACACTAGAAACGTGTTAATTTCCTGCGGCTGGTTTAAACTCAATTCATTGCCCACAACTCGCAACTCTCGTTTGAAATAAATCAATTGTTGGTTTTATTATTTGACATTTTCAGTTACGACTCAAATTTATTTTCAGTTCTACCATTAACCACTATTGAAATTTCACAACTTGTTGTATTAACATAATATTGTTAGCAATTAGAGATAGGTAACATATATTGTAGTTACAATATCTGTATATTAAACTAATAAAAAATATGTAAAATCTAATATATAATATTGAAATGAAGAACATGATTAGAAAAATTGAATATAAATATCCAACTGGTGTAGGGGATATTAAAATAAGTGATGACCTTTTAGCGCCATCAATTTCCAGACGAACCTATAACGAATATACAGAGGGCCTACTATGAAATATTTTCCAAAATTTCGAGCACGAACGAAACAAATTTTAATGTTAAAATTACATAATACATGCCGTTTAAAATTATTAAAAATGTTAAAATATCATTCCTCTGGACAATTAGGATAGGATTTATAATAAATAAAATGTTAAGCTCCATTTACTGGAACGATTTCGGTACGAACAAAAACACGATATTGAGTTCGAGAATTCCGAATTTCATTTCATATTACCCATCCCCATTTTTTTCTTGCCAATGGCCCTTTACTTCTGATTTTTATGAATACCATGTACTGTACAGAGTCACAAATTCTTATCATCTGTACCAATGTCGAAAAATATTTTTTTTAGTGATAGTATTATAACTAAGTCGTCGTGACAGATTGACAGATGAAGAAAGTCGTGTCATAAAATTTTTTTGTATCATTTTGGTGTGAACCTTAATCAGAGCCTATCACAGTCTACCATAATCTACCACAAATCAAATAAACACTACAGCTACAAATTAAGTGCTGCGACGTTTATTCTTCATTCTGACAAAATCTGCATACACTTTTTGGACATAAGCCTAGTTGGGTCATATATTTGTTTAATTTGCAGAGTCCAGTGAGAGCCCTTATTAATACACACATATTGTTATTACTCAAAAGAATAAATAAATTAGAATACTTTCTAAAAACCCCTTAATAAGGAATTTTGAGTGCTTTTATCCTGGCAACAACAGCCAGCTAATATTTGCTTTTTGCAAAATGCAAAACAATAATAAAATCTTATTTAAAAACTGGTATGTCTTATCTAGAAGCGATCTTTTCCATTGATTCTCCTACTTGTGAACTACGCGCGTACGAAGTAAAAGGCAAAAAGCTAGACAATTAAAATACTATGATAATTAGGCAATTAGCATTAATATAATTTAAAAAAAAGTATATAATATATAAATCTTTTTAGACAATCTTATAACAATCAAGCAAAGTATTATTTAACATTGTATAATTACATAAAATACTCTTTCTGCGAAACATTGAGATGACGTAATACTTTTAGTGCCTTTTAAATCGAATATAAATTACCTAGCAAAATATTTATTTCTTAGTCAATAACCGGTTCTACTCTTAATTACCACTGCGGCAATAAACAGATTTTAATTTTTTTTTTTTTAAATCTATATACACTCGTAAATTTATGATTAAAAATTATAATCTTCACATTTATGACGATCTCTGTGGCAGAGCAGTGGCCACATTTCTTTACGTAAAAGAGGTCCCCGGGTTCAATTCCCGGTTAAACCAATTTTGAATTAGTTGAAATTTTATGAATTAGTTCCTAAATATTCAAGATTGTGCCCTAGATGATCGTTACCAGATTTCTAATAACTCAATATATCCTAACTTAAGAAGCAGGCGAGATAGTATATAAACACATCAAAAAAGTCTAAGCAACACATACTATTTCAAATTATTAATCAATTATTATATCATTTCTTACCAAGTAGGTAATACCTATGTAAACTTTTTTTCATCTAAAGGACATACTGGCTGGTTGTAAAAAAAATCCAGTATCATTTGTTTTTTTTTTTTTTACAAATTTAAAAGCGAATGCATTTTTTCGAATTTTATAGAGTTTTCTTTGCTTATTAAAATTTACTATTCTGTATCAATTTTATTATTTAAACAATAATTTGAAAAAAGTTTTGAGCAAATTTGGATTTTGAGACATTTTTTACGTCATGGAGCGACGTCATTTGAATGCAGATAAAATGCAAAGAGCTGTAGGGATGTTGCAAGCGGAAAGAAGTCAATCTCAGGTATCATGGTATTTTGGTATCAACAGAAGCGTTATTTGCCGTCTTCATCAGCATTACACTAACACGGGAGATCCTGCTGAGCAGCACCCAGATCGAGGAAGGTGTACAACTACGCGGCAAGATCGATACATGCAACTGACTGCAAGACGCCAGCCGATGTTAACCGCCCGAGAGATAGGTTTAAGGTTTCAAAATTCAAATGGCGTTGTTGTTAGCTGCCAAACTGTGCGAAATTGACTGCATGAGTATGGCCTACGAGCACGTCGGCCAATTTTTTTTTTAATATATAAGGATATTTGAAAATCTCAATGCTAGTGGTTTACATCGGGTTTTCCCCTTGTATTTCGCATATAAAGAATTGTATTTTAACGCATATAAAGTTTGAACGCATTTTATTAGAAGCACTGTGTGTGATAGTTAAATATATGTAAATATATATGTATTTAGGTCTATTATACTTACATAATAATATATCACGGGAAATATATATAAATATAGTTTGTATAAGTTTATTATTACGTGTTATTAAATGCCTTTAGGCTATTTATTATATTTGCCAAATGTGTTTTGAATGAATTAGTACTGTTTTCATTCTTGATAATGCACATAATCAAGAATAAAAGAAGAAGAGAGTATGGTTCCGAAATGTTTAATAGTTGGCACGCTAATCGGTGATTTGGCTGCTGGCGAAACGGGGACAGTATTTCAGAAGGTGTTCAAGGTTCTAAATATCGGTGTTATTACATGGGCATAATTCATCAGTTGTTATATGTAATCTGCAAAGGTATCCCTTATGATACCCATGGTTACTCAAAAGTTATGTAATGTAAAAGTCAGGTTTCAATACACTTAGGACCTCTTGAAGTATATCAAATGATGGGCACCACTTTTTTAGGTGGCAGCACTTGTTAGGGTCTTCAAACATCCGTCTCTCTGCGTTCTTGCCCAGTGTTTGATAATGACGTTTTACGTAGGACATAGGGAATCGGGCGAACCATAAAATGTTCTAATTAATTGTAGAT